AGAAAATAGTGCGCCTAACACTAAAGTTTCAAACATTTAACTACAAGTCAAAGAAAACAGTGCGCATAACACTAACGTAACAAACATTCAACTAGAAGTCAAGGAAAACAGTGGGCATAACACAAAAGTAAAAAACATGCAACTAGAAGTCAACGAAAACAATGCGCATAACACTTAGGTACTACACATTCAACTAAAAGTCAAAGAAAACAGTGCACATAACACTAAAGTAACAAACATTCAACTAGAAATCAAGGAAAATAGTGTGCATAACACTTAAGTAACAAACATTCAATTAGAAGTCGAAAAAAATAATGCCAACAACACTAAAGTAACAAACATTCAACTACAAGTCAAAGAAAACAGTGCGCATAACATTAAAGTAACAAACACTCAACTAGAAGTCAAAGAAAATAGTGCGCACAACTCTAAAGTAGCAAACATTCAACTATTAGTCAAAGAAAATAGTGCGCACAACACTAAAGTAACAAACATTCAACTAGAAGTCAAAGAAAACAGTGCACATAACACTAAAGTAACAAACATTCAACTAGAAGTCAAAGAAAACAGTGTGCATAACACTTAAGTAACAAACATTCCACTAGAAGTCAAAGAAAACAGTGCGCATAAGGATAAAGTAACAAACATTCAACTAGAACTCAAGGAAAATAGTGGGCATAACACTAAAGTAACAAACGTTCAAGTAGAAGTCAAAGAAAACAGTGCGCAAACCAATAAAGTAACAAGCATTCAACTACAAGTGAAAGAAAAGAGTGCGCACATCATTAAAGTAACAAACATTCAACTAGAAGTCAAAGAAAACAGTGTGCATAACACTAACGTAACAAACATTCAACTACAAGTCAAAGAAAACAGTGTGCATAACACTAAAGTAACATATATTCAACTAGAAGTCAAAGAAAACAGTGTGCATAAAATTAAAGTAACAAACATTCAACTAGAAGTCAAAGAAAATAGTGTGCACAACACTAAAGCAACAAACATTCAACTAGAAGTCAAGCAAAACAGTGTGCATAACATTAAAGTAACAACCATTCAACTAGAAGTCAAAGAAAATATTGCGCATAACATTAAAGTAACAAACATTCAACTAAAAGTCAAAGAAAATAGTGTGCATAACATTAAAGTAACAAACATTGCACAAGAAGTCAAAGAAAACAGTGCGCACAACACTAAACTAACAAACATTCAACTAAAAGTCAAAGAAAACAGTGCACATAACACTAAGGTAACAAACATTCAAATACAAGTCAAAGAAAATTATGCGCATAACATAAAAGTAACAAACATTCAACTAAAAGTCAAAGAAAATAGTGCGTGTAGGCGCAAGAATTTGGATTATCATTTTTTGTTAGTGTTGGTGTTTCATAGTTTCGTGTTAGGTGTTTATTTTCTCGTCTTCTATTAGTGTCCTTTGTCAGTTACCAGTTTTGTACTTGTTATATTTATTTGCATATCGTATATATATTGGTTGCGCGTAATTTATTTGGTTAGTTGTCTAGTTTGTGAAAATTACCGTTACATATCTAGCTCTGGGTTTCATGTTTTCGTCTTTGGTTTGGTCACATTCGTCTTGTAAGTATCCTTGTTTATTTCGCTTTGTCGTTTTCCAGTACTTTCACTCATACGATGTAAGTTATTTTATGCTCATTCGCGTGTTTGTAATTTTGTCATTTTCAGTTACCGTATTCAACAATGTGTCAAGTTTGTTCTAGTAAAGTTTGAAATACGAGTGATTAGCGTTTGCGACTATATTTTGTAAAAGACGAATCTGGTTTATTGGAAGTTTATGACGATGTCTCGCAACGGTTCTGATGTCTACCTGTCTTATTCGGCCGGGAAGAACGGCCAACCTGCCGAAAACGGTTCACGTACTCGTAAACCGAATACCTCTTTGGATCAAGAAGGAATCTCTCTTGAACGCATCCGTGAACTCAGAAAGCGGAGAGGAGGAGTGTTGTCTTCGTTAACGTCCAAGCGTCGAGAGATCGATAGTCTTTTAACGGATGAAAATAATTTGGAGACGGTGAAAGTAAAGTTGTCGGAAATCACGTTGCTATTTCGAAGATTTACCGAGGCTCATGACGCGTATAATGTAGCTCTGGTTGAGGAAAGTCAGAGACAAGAATCAGACCTCTATTTCGCCGACATTGAAAGCAGTTTAGATTTTTTCTGCCGTACGGTCAATGATTGGTTACGTGTCACGGAAGCCAGGCTTCAAGATAACCTGATAACGCCTGACGACAGCGCTTCTCAAATTGGGTCCGAGGTTCGTAGCAAGTCTAGACCATCCATGTGTGGATCGAGAACGAGTCACTTTTCTAAAACGAGCTCCATATCTGCTGCAAGAGCCAAAGAGGCAGCTCGCATCGCGGAACTTCGAGCGGAGGCACACGCTTTGAAACACCGCCATTCGCTTCAGGAATCGGAGCTACGCCTCAAGAGGCAAGAGTACGACCTGCAGTTGAAGAAAGATGAATTAAACCTCAAAACTGAGTACGCTAAAGCGGTGGCTAGAGAAGAAGCTTACGCTCAAGCTGAAGCGGGTAATTTCGCGCCTAGCAACGTGGCCTCTAGGAATCCTCGTTGTCCCGTTTCAGTCGTATCCTCCATCACTGAAAAGTCAAGGACTGGTGGTTCAAAACGTGAGTCATTTGTACCTGCCGATAAGAAAGAGAAATTGTCTGTGAAGTCAAGTAACCCGGTTAAAGATCATAAGGGTGTTGTGAGTGATTCAAGTTCAAGCTCTGGCAACTCAGGTCTGAGCGACCAGGCCTATGGCATTCTCGTCCAGCAGAACCGAGTAATGGAAGAGTTCGTGAAACAGCAGCAAAGGAACTTGTTGCCCAGGAGACGTGTACCTGTGTTCAGTGGAGACCCTTTACATTACTGTGCTTTCATTCGCGCGTTCGAGACCGTAATCGAAACTAGAGAACTAGATTACGCTGGGAGACTCTATTACCTCGAACAGCACACAGCTGGCAGAGCTCAAGAGTTGGTACAAAGTTGCCTCTACATGAAAGCCGAAGATGGGTACGTAAAGGCAAAGAAACTCTTAGAGAGCAAATTTGGACAGAAGCACAAAATCGCTATGGCATATGTGGATAAAGTCACTAATGGTCCAGTCATCAAAGCTGAAGATGCAGACGCCCTAGAAGGCTTTGCCGTTTTGCTCTCTAGCTGTACAAACACTCTTAAGGCTATCGGCTATTCCAGCAAGTTCGAAAGTCCGGATAGCATGCGGAAGATTATTGAGAGGCTTCCCCCGAAGTTGCAAGCCAGTTGGCGGGACAACGCTGATCGGATCCTCAACTCGGAAGCGAGAGATGTCTGCATTGATGATATTTCACTCTTCGTTGAACAGAAAGCTCGCACCTTGTCCAATCCAGTTTTTGGCAAGCTTCCTTGTTTGGAAAAGGAGAAGAAGAACAGCAAGGATAGGGGTTCGAGATCGAAGTCTGAGAGACCCGGTGGAAAACAGCTAAGCCTCGTCACGATTTCCGAGACGAAATCTGCTCTCAATTCATCTGCTGATGTGTCGAGTGCAGTTCATTCTTCTAAGAAGAACTGTCTGTTTTGTAATGCAGATCACAATCTCACCGAATGTTCCAGTTTCGCCAAAGTACCTCCTACAGATCGTCAGGAGTTTGTCATGAAGCAGAGGCTATGCTTTTCGTGCTTAGGTGGAGGCCATCAATCTAGAAGTTGTCACAAAAGGAAGCCCTGTATTCACTGTAATAAGAGACACGCTACTGTAATGCATGTAGGTGCACCAGAAGCTATTGTTGCGTCCGACCGTGGTAAGGATGGACCTCAGAGCGAGAACAACCAGTCCAGTACTGAGAAGATCAGAGCTGATCACTTTTGTGGCCTAACCACAATGGAGGGTTCCGTGACTGCATTGCCCATTGTTGCTGTGAAGGTCGAAGTCAAAGGAAGTCCTCGGTCCGTGGAGACCTATGCGTTGCTGGATAATGGATCTAACACCACCTTTTGCTCGGCTAATCTGTTGAGACGTCTGAGAGTCTGCGGCAAGGAAATGAGACTCAAGCTAACCACCATGGATAGCTGCAACGATGTGGACAGTCTCGTTGTTACGAACCTGGAAGTGGCTGATCTAGACGAGAACGTTGTCTTTTCCTTGCCAGAAGTTCTTTCCCGACCTTCTATGCCTGTAGTGAAAGATGAGATCCCGAAACAAGAGGATGTGGATCGATGGCCGCACCTTCAAGGCTATGTATACCTAGCAGAATTGAATTCCGAGGTGGATCTATTGATTGGTGCAAACGTACCTGAAGCCCTACAACCGAGAGAAGTTGTCCCTGCCTCTGATGGGGGTCCATATGCAACTAGAGTTGATCTTGGCTGGGTTATCAATGGCCCAACTGGAAGAAAGCAAAAGTTTGTCCCATCTTCTAGTTTCTTCGTTAACTGTAAGGAGACTCATCCTATGTGTATAGCATGTGCTGATTTTGCAGATGCCACTCTTTCCGATGGTTTAAGCATGTCAAGGGATGACTTAAAGTTCATGAACATTGTAGAGGATTCAGTTATGCAGTGTGAAGATGGTCATTATCAGGTTTCTCTACCGTTAAGGGACCTCAACTTGCAGATGCCAGCAAACCGGAGTCAAGCAGAACGCCGTGCTCTCTATCTTAAACGTAAATTCTCCAAAGATGTGAAGTTTCGCGAGGACTATGTTGCTTGTCTTGAGAAGGTGATCGGTGACGGTTTTGCAGAAAAGGTTCCCCTGGATGTCCTGGAGAGATCAGATGGTAAGGTGTGGTTTATCCCGCACCACGGCGTTTATCATCATAAGAAACCGGATAAAATACGTGTCGTTTTCGATTGCTCGGCCCATTCTCAAGGAACTTCCCTGAATGATGAGCTGTTTCAAGGTCCTGACTTAACCAATAATCTGGTTGGCGTGCTGATCCGTTTCCGGCAGGAGCCAGTCGCAGTCATGGGTGACGTTCAATCTATGTTCCATCAGGTGCGTGTCCCAGAAGAAGATAGAGACCTCCTACGGTTCCTTTGGTGGCCCCGTGGTGACTTCTCCAAGGAATTAGAAGAGTATCGGATGACCGTACATCTGTTCGGTGCGGTTTCGTCTCCCAGTTGTGCTAACTTTGCCATGCGACGGAATGCCGAAGATCATAGGCACGAGTTTTCCCCTGACGTGGTTAGTACTGTCTTGAAGAATTTCTACGTTGACGACTGCCTGAAGTCCTTACCTTCAGCGACTGTTGCAATAAAGCATGTGGAAGAACTTCGTCGGCTAATGCTGAGGGGAGGTTTCAATTTGACTAAATGGATCAGCAATGACCGCGAAGTCTTGGAATCCATTCCTGTAGAAGCTAGAGCAAAGGATGTTAAAGATCTGGATCTTGATAACGACGCGCTTCCTGCAGAGAGAGCCCTAGGTGTATCCTGGTTTGTCGAGACAGATTCATTTGGTTTCAAAGTGAACATTAAGGAGAAACCTTGTACCAGGCGTGGTATCCTTTCCGTGGTGAGTTCAGTTTACGATCCTCTCGGTATGGCAGCGCCTTTCATCCTTCCGGCAAAACTGCTCCTTCAGGATCTGTGCAGAAAGAGTTTGGGTTGGGATGATGAGATTCCCAGCGACTACCTATCTCGTTGGCGTGTGTGGCTAAATGGTCTGCCGAAATCTTTTGTTGTTCACGTGAGTAAAGATTCGAGTATCGTTTCTATCATCCAACGGTTTTCTTCATGGTTCAAATTGTTGAAGTTTATCGCGCTGTGTCTTCGCTGCCAGAGAAGATTTGTGATGAGGAGAAAAGTGTCAAAGGAGAATTGTTTGGATACTGCTGACGCATCTGGAGCGAAATTGGTGACAAACGCAGAGCTGGAAGAAGCCGGAAAAGAGATTATCAAGTTCGAGCAGAATCTCACCTTTGCAGAAGAATTAGAAGCCGTTAAGGGAGATAAATGCGTCAAGGGGTCAAGTGCACTTGCAAGATTAGATCCGATCTTGACCGATGGCCTTCTTCGTGTTGGCGGGCGCCTTAGCAGGGCTACCCTATCAGACGACTCTAAGCATCAGATTATCATTCCTAAAGATTCTCATCTAGCTCGTCTGCTTGTGAACCACTTTCACCAGAAAAGCGGCCATTCTGGTAGAGAATATGTCCTGGCTCTGTTGCGCGAACGTTTCTGGTTGATTCGTGCCAACTCCACTGTTAGAAGTGTGCTTTCATCCTGCTTTGATTGCAAACGACGACAAGGTCCCGTTGGAGAACAAAAGATGGCAAATCTGCCTCGGCCTCGAGTTACACCAGATCAACCCCCCTTCACGTGCGTGGGGATAGATTATTTTGGTCCCTTTCTTGTTCGTCAAAAGAGGAGCATGGTCAAACGTTATGGTGCAATCTTCACTTGTTTGGCACTGCGAGCTGTTCATCTGGAGGTGTGTCACTCACTGGACACTGACTCTTTTATTCACGCACTCAGACGTTTTATCGCTCGTAGAGGTCAAGTTAAAGAAATTCGCTCCGACAATGGTTCAAATTTCGTAGGAGGTGAAAGGGAGCTTCGTGTCATGATTGACAGCTGGAATCAAGCTAGAATTCATGACGCCCTTCTGCAGAAAAGCATCAAATGGGTTTTTAACCCACCCGGAGCCTCGCATCATGGTGGTGTCTGGGAGAGGCTAATTAGATCTACACGCAAGGTTCTGGGTGCCCTGGTTAAAGAACAAAGTCTCGATGATGAGAGTCTTCAGACCTTGTTGTGTGAATGTGAGAGCTTTATCAATGGAAGACCTCTGACCACAGTTTCTGACGATCCAAAGGATTTGGAACCACTATCACCGAACCACCTTCTCCTGCTTCGCAGCGAGACACCTCTTCCTCCAGGCTTGTTTTTAAAGAGCGACACATACTCCAGGAGAAGATGGCGGCAAGTACAATATTTGGCTGATGTTTTCTGGGGTCGCTGGAAGAGAGAATATCTCCCTCTGCTGCAGTCACGTCAGAAATGGTTTCGACCAAAGAAAAACTTTGCCGTGGGGGACACTGTTATCGTGGTTGACGAAACTTTGCCAAGGAATGCGTGGGCAATTGGTCGGATTACAGAGGTTTTTCCTGACAAATATGGATTTGTCCGCCGTGTCAAGGTTAAAACCAAGACATCAACTTTGGAGCGCCCTATCAGTAAACTATGTCTTCTGGAATCAATTGAACAAGTGGAAGGAAAAATTATTGACTTTCCTTAATCGCATGATTACCAAGATTGCGTGACTTTTCTTTGAGGAGAAAGATTTAAATTGACACTTTATAGTACTTTGTTGACTCTGTTAGGCGTCTGAACATTAAGTGAAGATCGCCTAAGTTCAATTAGCTTTGTTAAGTTTGCGCCTTTTAGTGTTTTGCTGGTAAATACTTGGATTTAGATCTTCGTATTTAAGGGGCCGGAATGTAGGCGCAAGAATTTGGATTATCATTTTTTGTTAGTGTTGGTGTTTCATAGTTTCGTGTTAGGTGTTTATTTTCTCGTCTTCCATTAGTGTCCTTTGTCAGTTACCAGTTTTGTACTTGTTATATTTATTTGCATATCGTATATATATTGGTTGCGCGTAATTTATTTGGTTAGTTGTCTAGTTTGTGAAAATTACCGTTACATATCTAGCTCTGGGTTTCATGTTTTCGTCTTTGGTTTGGTCACATTCGTCTTGTAAGTATCCTTGTTTATTTCGCTTTGTCGTTTTCCAGTACTTTCACTCATACGATGTAAGTTATTTTATGCTCATTCGCGTGTTTGTAATTTTGTCATTTTCAGTTACCGTATTCAACAATGTGTCAAGTTTGTTCTAGTAAAGTTTGAAATACGAGTGATTAGCGTTTGCGACTATAGTGCGCACAACATTCAAGTAGAAGTCAAAGAAAATACTGCGCATAACCATAAAGGAATAAACATTCAACTAGAAGTCAAAGAAAACAGTGTGCATAAAATTAGAGAAGCAAACATTCAACTAAAACTCAAAGAAAATAGTGTGTATAACACTAAAGTAACAAACATTCAACTAGAAGTCAAAGAAAACAGTGCGCATAACACTAAAGTAACAAACATTCAACTAGAAGTCAAAGAAAACAGTGCGCATAACACTTAAGTAACAAACATTCAACTAGAAGTAAAAAAAAACAGTGTTCATAACACTAACGTAACAAACATTAAACTAGAAGTCAAAGAAAACAGTGTGCATAACACTTAAGTAACAAACAATCAACTAGAATTCAAAGAAAATAATGCGCATAACATTAAAATAACAAACATTCAACTAAAAATCAAAGAAAATAGTGCGCATAACATTAAAGTAACAAACATTGAACTAGAAGTCAAAGAAAACAGTGCGCACAACACTAAAGTAACAAACATTTAACTACAAGTCAAAGAAAACACTGCGCATAACACTAATGTAACAAAAATTCAAATACAAGTCAAGGAAATCAGTGCGCATAACACTTAAGTAACAGACATTCAGCTAGAAGTCAAATAGAACAGTGCACATAACGATAAAGTAACAAACGTTCAACTACAAGTCAAAGAAAACAGTGCGCATAACACCTAAGTAACAAACATTCGACTAGAATTCAAAGAAAATAATGCGCATAACATTAAAATAACAAACATTCAACTACAAGTCAAGGAAATCAGTGCGCATAACACTTAAGTAACAGACATTCAACTAGAAGTCAAAGAAAACAGTGCACATAACGATAAAGTAACAAACATACAACTAGAAGTCAAAGAAAATATTGCGCATAACAATAAAGTAACAAACATTCAACCAGAAGTCAAAGAAAATAATGCGCATAACATTAAAATAACAAACATTCAATTAGAAATCAAAGAAAATAGTGCGCATAACATTAAAGTAACAAACATTGAAATAGAAGTCAATGAAAACAGTGCGCACAACACTAAAGTAACAAACATTTAACTACAAGTCAAAGAAAACACTGCGCATAACACTTAAGTAACAAACATACAACTAGAAGTCAAAGAAAATATTGCGCATAACAATAAAGTAACAAACATTCAACCAGAAGTCAAAGAAAACAGTGCGCATAACACTAAAGTAACAAACATTCAACTAGAAGTCAAAGAAAATAGTGCGCATAACACTAAAGGAATAAACATTCAACTACAAGTCAAAGAAAAGAGTGCGCATAACGATAAAGTAACAAACATACAACTAGAAGTCAAAGAAAGCAGTGCGCATAACACTAAAGTAACAAACATGCAACTAGAAGTCAAAGAAAACAGTGCACATAACACTAAAGTAACAAACATTCAACTACAAGTCAAAAAAAATAGTGCGCACAACACTAAAGTAACAAACATTCAACTAGAAGTCAAAGAAAACAGTGCGCATAACACTAAAGTAACAAACATTCAACTACAAGTCAAAGAAAATAGTGCGCATAACACTAAAGTAACAAACATTCAACTAGAAGTAAAAGAAAACCGGGTGCACAACACTAAAGTAACAAACATTCAACTAAAAGTCAAAGAAAACAGTGCGCAAACCACTAAAGTAACAAGCATTCAACTACAAGTGAAGGAAAACAGTGCGCATAACACTAAAGTAACAAACATTCAACTAGAAGTCAAACAAAACAGTGCGCATAACACTAAAGTAACAAACATTCAACTAGAAGTCAAACAAAACAGTGTGCATAACATTAACGTAACCAACATTCAACTAGAAGTGACATAAAATAGTGCGCATAACACTAAAGTAGCAAATATTTAACTAGAAGTCAGAGAAAATAGTGCGTAACACTTTTAAGTACAAGTCAAAGAAAACAGTGCGCATAACACTAAAGTAACAAACATTGAACTAGAAGTCAAAGAAAACAGTGCGCACAACACTAAAGTAACAAACATTCAACTAGAAGTCAAAGAAAACAGTGTGCATAACACTAAAGTAACAAACATTCAACTAGAAGTCAAAGAAAACAGTGCGCATAACACTAAAGTAACAAACATTCAACTAGAAGTCAAAGAAAATAGTGCGCATAACACTAAAGTAACAAACATTCAACTAGAAGTCAAAGAAAACAGTGCGCATAATACTAAAGTAAAAAACATTTAACTACAAAGTAACAAACATTCAACTAGAAGTCAAAGAAAATAGTGCGCATAACACTAAAGTAACAAACATTCAACTAGAAGTCAAAGAAAACAGTGCGCATAACACTAAAGTAACAAACATTCAACTAGAAGTCAAAGAAAACAGTGCGCATAACACTAAAGTAACAAACATTCAATTAGAAGTCAAAGAAAACAGTGCGCATAACACTAAAGTAACAAACATTCAACTAGAAGTCAAAGAAAACAGTGCGCATAACACTAAAGTAACAAACATTCAACTAGAAGTCAAAGAAAACAGTGCGCATAACACTAAAGTAACAAACATTCAACTAGAAGTCAAAGAAAACAGTGCGCATAACACTAAAGTAACAAACATTCAACTAGAAGTCAAAGAAAACAGTGCGCATAACACTAAAGTAACAAACATTCAACTAGAAGTCAAAGAAAACAGTGCGCAAAACACTAAAGTAACAAACATTCAAGTAGAAGCTGAAGAAAATAATGCGCATAACACTAAAGTAACAAACATTCAACTAGAAGTCAAAGAAAACAGTGCGCATAACACTAAAGTAACAAACATTCAACTAGAAGTCAAAGAAAACAGTGCGCATAACACTAAAGTAACAAACATTCAACTAGAAGTCAAAGAAAACAGTGCGCATAACACTAAAGTAACAAACATTCAACTAGAAGTCAAAGAAAATAGTGCGCATAACACTAAAGTAACAAACATTCAACTAGAAGTCAAAGAAAACAGTGTGCATAACACTAAAGTAACAAACATTCAACTACAAGTCAAAGAAAACAGTGCGCATAACACTAAAGTAACAAACATTCAACTAGAAGTCAAAGAAAACAGTGCGCATAACACTAAAGTAACAAACATTTAACTAGAAGTCAAAGAAAACAGTGCACATAACACTAAAGTAACAAACATTCAACTAGAAGTCAAAGAAAATAGTGCGCATAGCACTAAAGTAACAAACATTCAACTAGAAGTCAAAGAAAATAGTGCGCATAACACTAAAGTAACAAACATTCAACTAGAAGTCAAAGAAAACAGTGCGCATAACACTAAAGTAACAAACATTCAATTAGAAGTCAAAGAAAATAGTGCGCATAGCACTAAAGTAACAAACATTCAACTACAAGTCAAAAGAAACAGTGCGCATAACACTAAAGTAACAAACATTCAACTAGAAGTCAAAGAAAACAGTGCGCATAACACTAAAGTAACAAACATTCAACTAGAAGTCAAAGAAAACAGTGCGCATAACACTAAAGTAACAAACATTCAACTAGAAGTCAAAGAAAATAGTGTGCACAACACTAAAGTAACAAACATTCAATTAGAAGTCAGAGAAAATAGTGTGCACAACACTAAAGTAACAAACATTCAACTAGAAGTCAAAGAAAATAGTGCGCATAGCACTAAAGTAACAAACATTCAACTACAAGTCAAAAAAACAGTGCGCATAACACTAAAGTAACAAACATTCAACTAGAAGTCAAAGAAAACAGTGCACATAACACTAAAGTAACAAACATTCAACTAGAAGTCAAAGAAAACAGTGCGCATAACACTAAAGTAACAAACATTCAATTAGAAGTCAAAGAAAATAGTGCGCACAACACTAAAGTAACAAACATTCAATTAGAAGTCAAAGAAAATAGTGCGCACAACACTAAAGTAACAAACATTCAATTAGAAGTCAAAGAAAATAGTGCGCACAACACTAAAGTAACAAACATTCAATTAGAAGTCAAAGAAAATAATGCGCACAACACTAAAGTAACAAACATTCAATTAGAAGTCAAAGAAAATAGTGCGCACAACACTAAAGTAACAAACATTCAATTAGAAGTCAAAGAAAACAGTGCGCATAACATTAAAGTAACAAACATTCAACTAGAAGTCAAAGAAAACAGTGCGCATAACACTAAAGTAACAAACATTCAACTAGAAGTCAAAGAAAATAATGCGCATAACACTAATGTAACAAACATTCAACTAGAAGTCAGAGAATAGTGCGCATAACACTAAAGTAACAATTATTGAACTAGAGTTCAAAAAAATAGTGCGCATACGACTAAAGGAAGAAATATTCAACTAGAAGT